CGGCCGACACCCGGGCAAAATTCAAAATTTCCTATTACCTGAAAAATGTGAATGTGTCCCGCGCGCTATTAACACCTAATGCAGTTGAGGGAGCCGTAAAACATTTATTACCAAAAAACAAAGAAAAATATATGTTGTAACGACTGCCCAACGTCAAGGGAACCTATTTAGCAATCACTGGATGAAGTAATGAGTTATCTCCTGTCGATCTGTTACTAATACATGTACTTGAGCGTGAGTCCTCACTAAATAAAAGCCCAACGAGCATTCGCCAACCTGAACGTTATTGAGCTGATATTTTGTCGCGAGGCTGAGATGGCGAAGTTCCTTTAGGGTTTCTCCAGGCGATTGATATAAATCAATTCCTTTTCTTTTAATGACCAAGATCTAAAAATGATAGCACTTCCATATTCAGCATACCATTATTATTTGGATTAGCGCTGGGAGCGAAAATTGATGCCGAATTACTCTGACATAATTTTATTTTAATTGTATATGTATATCACTTCATATGTTATTGCATAGGCAGCCACATTGTTGAACGATGATCTACGCCAATGGGTCATAGAAAGACTAGATTTGCTGTTATCTCAGTTTACCTTCCACCCCCTCCTCCCCCCTCTAAAAAAATATCTTCACTTTCAAAACACACACACCGACACACACCGACACACACACACACACACACACACACACACACACACATACACACAAACACACACACCCATAACACACACATACACACGCGCGCGCGCACACACACACACACACACACACACACACACACACACACACACGCACGCATACGCACAGACGTCAATTAACCAGTGCCTGAAATCCTTCGAAAACAAAACTGCGTAAAACCGGATTTGAGAGCTATCAGTTAACCGGGTTTCTTTTTAATGATAATAATAATGAATTTTGCCCAGTTCCATGGCACCACCCTTCTCACTCACCGGTGCGCGTGCAGGCTAACGTCACATAAAAACGACGTGGCTCCCTTTGTTCCAGCCGTTTGTTCTATTTTTGTTTTGTTTTATTCGGTTCTGTTTTGTTTGGTTTTGGACAGCTTCCATGTCGGTTTCATTGTTTGGGGTCGTTTCAGCGCAGCATTTGGAAGACAAAATGCTGAAGCCTGTTCGTTGGTGTGTGTATGTGTGTGTGTGTGTGTGTGTGTGTGTGTGTGTGTGTGTGTGTGTGTGTGTGTGTGTGAGAGAGAGAGAGAGAGAGAGAGAGAGAGTGTGTGTGTGTGTGTGTATGTATGTGTGTGTGTGTTTGTGTGTGTTCTTGTGTGTTTGCATACGTAACCGTAACCTCCCTGCATCCTTTGGTGTTATTTGTAAGTATTCGTTTGTGCATGTATATTGGTGTACATTTGAGTGACTGTCTGTCTGTCTGTCTGTCTGTCTGTCTGTCTGTCTGTCTGTTTGTATGTCTGATTGCCAATGTGTGTATAAGTTTATTCTGTGTCCGCGCCCGTCTCTTCGTGTTTGATTACCTGTGTGTGTGTGTGTGTGTGTGTGTGTGTGTGTGTGTGTGTGTGTGTGTGTGTGTGTGTGTGTGTGTGTGTGTGTGTGTTTACATATATATTTATATATATAATATTATGCATAATATATGTACATATTATATATATATACATATATATATTTATAAATAATGTGTGTGTGTGCATGTGTGTGTGTGTGTCTGTGTTTGTGTGTATTCTTCCAAATATATGGAAAATTATATCTAATTGTTTCATGACACTGTGGGATCAGTCACCCCTTCCGCTTTTAAACAATAGGGTTATTAGCATAATCTTAAAAGCAGTTCGAATTAAAGCAAGTTCTGTCTTGCTTTGGATGCCAAAAAAGTATACATATATCTAAAAATGAAGTCGAGATATTTGCTAGGCCAACTGAACGAGCTGGGAGTCGCCTGGTTTCAGGGACAAAATACCGAAAAAATGGGCGCCAAAGTGTTGTTGGGTTTTTTTTGTACTTCCAGTGGTTGAGTGTCTTTGGGAACTACAACTTTACATTTTACTGTTTGGATGTGTGTGTACCTCATTTTGTCAAATCAAAGTGTTTCCAATATAATGTTCCACAAAGAAATGTGTTTTTTAATGTATACAAAAATGTATTTTTAAAAAAGTCAGTATAAATA